GCACACTAGGGGAGCTGATGTGTTGCATTGCTATTGAGCCCTTCTCAGCACATGTGCATTGCAGCGCAACATCATGGGTCGCTGTGCAGTAAAGTAAAGGAGTGCATTCATTACTGTTTGACAACTATTCTCATTATTGATTATTATCGATTAGTAGGTGGCAGCCCTACACGTGTCCCGTGCCATTAGTGTGATGCTATAATGTAAATAGGATCTTAAAAGTACAGCTGCACATTTAGAGCATATCAAAACAGAAAACAAAATACAATATTTGGCATCTTACCAGTCCATAGATATTTGGTGACTTGCATTCATTTTCTTAAAGTGACATTAAAGGCAAAAAAAAAATGTCCCTCCCCCAATGTAAATGTTAGCACTTACCTTAAATGATGTCTCTTTTTCCGATCTTCCTCTTCTTTCCCCATGTTTTTATCTGTCCCTCTAGCGGTGTGACGTCACTCCGATCCAGCGCTGACTGCTCTGTCTCTCCGATCCAGCGGTGTCTGCAGGCGGGTGCACGCGTCCACAGACTTACCTTGCGTCTCTGCTCGTCTCCCGGCTGAGAATCGGAACTGCGCATGCGCCCGCCCCAAGATCCTTTTTCGGCCGTACAAACAGTTCCTGATTCTCGGCGCGGGAACGAGCGGCGTTAACGAGGTAAGTTTAAAATGATTTTAAGCATTTTTTGGTTTTTTTTACACTTCTTGCCTATATCTACTGCATGCTAGCAGTAGATATAAGCAAAAAAAAAAAAAACGGAGGGTTTAGAACCCCTTTAAGCTAAAAGCACTTTCAGCAAGGACAGAAAAATACCCGCTGATCTTGCCAGAAATGCAGACCAAATATACTTTAAAATGGATTCTGTCGCTACAATAAAGACTTGAAATTTAGGACTCCCTGTATAGAATAGAAGATTTTCCTGCCCTGCTGTCCATGCTGCCAATCTTAGCTCACTTAAGTAGCTGCAATGGCTGAACGATCTTCAGAATCCAACACTGCCAGTTGTATTAGATGCCTGGTACCATGCTCAACACCATGCTTCCATCTGCAGCCCCCTATGTCAATAAATCAACCCGCCGCCCCCTACATCAGTGGCGCTCTCTCATCATGAGTGCAGGATGCTGTGGTGATCCATGACAGTCTGCTTTCACAAGATGTACTGGGTGTCATTCAATCCAGAAAACAGAGCATCCAGTGGCAAAAACCAATCACTGTGGGGGACAATTTGGGAGAGGGGCAAGCACTGCAGCCAGAGCTAATATTTTTCCTTTAAGGCCTCATTCACAAAGCTTAGAGGCGGCCCGTACAGATCTGTGTGGCATGCGCGGCCGTTCCCGGGAAGGACAGGTGCTGCGTGTGATTGTACGCAGTAGCCTGTTCTTCCCTACGGAAGGAAGCGGCCATACGCTCACCCGAGCTGCACAGCCGCGCGGGTGCAGGTCTGTACAATGGATCCTGTCTGCGTCCTAGTACGGACACCCGCACCCACGTGCAGCTCGGGTGAGCGTACGGCCGCATCCTCCTATAGGGAAGAACAGGCTGCGGCGTGCAATCACACCCAGCACCTGTCCTTCCCGGGAATGGCCTGATACGGTCGTGCATGCCGCACGGATCTGTACGGGCCGGCTCTTAGCAGTGTGAATGAGGCCTAAACCTCTGCTGGGGGCTGCAGTTGTACAACCACCTTTGGACTGCAAAAACACATAAAAAGAAGAATGCCGTTTTCCAACGTCAATTTCTGTCAACCCCACAAAATGATCTAAAGCAGTGGTGGTCAACCTTCTTCATAAACAGGGCCTCAAGTTCACCAAAGAATATTCACTGAAAGTGATATTAAAGTCAAAAAATGAGTTATTCCAAAATCTGATGAATCACTTACAATGGATGCTCCTCCTTGCTAGTTACAGGTTTTAGTTTTTGCAGAATCAGCTGGTCCCCTGAGCATGGGCCAGATCTCCTGTTTTAGGGTGGCTCCTTTCCCGTGCAGGGTCCTATGGAGCCACCCTTGTGTACCAGTAAGCTGTGTGTGTCTCCACAAACACACAATTGCAAATGTCACATAGCACTCCAGACCAGAATCCCACAATAGTATGCAGAAGGGTACTAGAATGACAAATCATTGACAAATATAGCAAAATACTTTGCTGGGCAATCTATATTTGTTTGATCTGGATTTATTATTGAGAAGTTATTGATTAATATAACGCTACAGAAAGCTGTCAGAGACTGCAGACATACAACTGGAGATGGCTGAAGACTTGGAGCATGCTACAAGAGATGATCAAAGACTGCAGAGATACTACAGGAGATGGTCGGAGATTGTGACTATGCCATCGGTGTTGTTGGAGGCTGGGGACATGTTGCAGGAGGCCGGCATGGACCAGACATACATTACATGAGACTGATAGAGATCACAGCCCCTTGAGGCTAGGTCCACACCTAGGCGATTCAGATGCCGAACTGTTTTCGCACGTTTTTGATCGGGCGACTCGCGACGCTCACCCGAGCTGCACAGCCGGTGTCCATACTTGGACGCAGACCAGATCCATCGCACTGACACGCAGTTGCGCGGATGTACAGCACGGGTGAGCGTACGGCTGCGTCCTCCCATAGAGAAGAACAGGCTGCTGCGTACAATCAAACAGCGCCTGTCCTTTCCGGGAACGGCCCGATACGGCCGTGCATGCCGCACGGATCTGTACGGGCCGACTAAGCTTTGTGAATGAGGCCCTAAAGTAAAAATATCATTTCATTAATGGTTTCATTCATGGTCGCGTGACAAACCGCAAAAGGTGTGAGCAGCCTCTATTGACTTCAATGCAAATCTGTTTTGCGTGATATCGCGCAACTCAAACCGCGCGGGTCCGGTGCACACCTATGTGAAACCCCACCGCGCAGCAATCGTGCACGATACCGTGCGGATTGGCGCACAGTCAGGAGTCGCATAGGTGTGCACCGATCGCGCTGTGGGTGCCCTTATTTTCCAATGGCACCCCAGTCATGCTGGGCGGATCGTGCAGTTTCCCGCCACGATTCTGCCCATGCTTCCGAACACAATTGCAGCTAACTCAGCCGCGCGTCGTGTATCGCAGAAAAAAAAAAAAGGAACAAGTGCCTTTTTTCTGAGAAAAAAAAAAGTGTTCCGAAGCACAACTGGGGTGCCATTGGAAAATAATGGCACCCACAGGGCAATCGGTGCACACCTATGCGACTCCTGACCGCGAGGCAATCCGCACAGAATTGTGCACGTTTGCCGTGGGGTGTCATCTAGGTGTGCACCGGCCCTTACAAATTAATTCTCCTTCATTTGTGCTCCTTGAAGCCCCCTTAACCATTACTTGTTCCACATCTAATATTTTTCTCCATTATAAATGATAAAACACAAAAGATACAAAAAGATGCACAAAACGGGAAAGGACCGCACAAAAATAAGGCCCCAAGTAAGGCAAGCAGTTTGCGTCCGGGGCGGTCGTCCTCAGGCAATGGAAGTATGTACGATTACATGCGAACGGCTGCGGCGCTGTCATTATTTGGTACATCGCTCCCTGCCTGCGGCTCTGCACATGAGTCTTACAGACCAATTTGTGGGACTCCTTAGATCGGCTCCCTTGGCATGTGTGAACGGGGCCTAAAAAAGGAATAAAGCAAATTCTCTGACTACGAGAGATCAGGCTGAAGAATAGGTTTCCTTCACCGGCACCGAGAGAACACACAAGTACCAGTCCTGAGTGTAGACCTAGTCACTGGTCTGTTATCTAAATACCGTGTAGAAGGGGGGTCACCAGGGGGCTGAATGACAATGCTTTGTAAATACTAAACACAAGCAAGCAAACAATGTGACAACGTGTTATTTCTGGAGATGGAGAGGAAGGAAAATAAAAAACATAATTGTCACACCATGCATTCCAATCATCCGGAGATGGGGGGATCCAAAATGGATGATAACAGATCACATACATCCCATCCTGAGCTTGTAGATGTTCCACAGACCAATCACTGACCTCCAGTAATACCCCCACCCTGGGGGCCTAGGCAGAGGGCGGCAGTCATTCCACTAGTGACCCAGGCAGAGGGCAGCAGTCATTCCACTAGTGCCCCAGGCAGAGGGCAGCAGTCATTCCACTAGTGCCCCAGGCAGAGGGCAGCAGTCATTGGCCTGCATTCATTCCCCTAGTGCCCCAGGCAGAGGGCAGCAGTCATTGGCCTGCATTCATTCCCCTATTGCCCCAGGCAGAAGGGAACAGTCATTGGCCTGCATTCTTTCCTCTAGTGCCCCAGGCAGAGGGCAGCAGTCATTGGCCTGCATTCTTTCCCTAGTGCCCCAGGCAGAGGGCAGCAGTCATTGGCCTGCATTCATTCCCCTAGTGCCCCAGGCAGAGGGCAGCAGTCATTGGCCTGCATTTATTCCCCTAGTGCCCCAGGCAGAGGGCAGCAGTCATTGGCCTGCATTTATTCCCCAATGCCCCAGGCAGAGGGCAGCAGTCATTGGCCTCCATCCATCCCCCTAGTGCCCCAGGCAGAGGGCAGCAGTCAATGGCCTCCATTCATTCCCTAGTGCCCCAGGCAGAAGGCAGCAGTGACTGACCTCCATGCATCCCTTCTAGTACCCCAGGCAGAGGGCTGCAGTCACTGACCTCCATCCATCCCCCTAGTGCCCCAGGCAGAGGGCAGCAGTCATTGACCTCCATCCATCCCCCTAGTGCCCAAGGCAGAGTGCAGCAGTCATTGACCTCCATCCATCCCCCAGGCAGAGGGAAGCAGTCACTGACATCCATCCCCCTGTACCCCGGGCAGAGGGCAGCAGTCATTGGCCTCCATTCATTCACCTAGTACCCCAGGCAGAGGGCAGCAGTCACTCACCTCCATCCATTCCCCTAGTACACCAGGTAGAGGGCAGCATTGACCAGCCATATAACACGCCCCCTAGCGGCCACCCTCGCCGGTCCCCGCTAACAAGAGCTGTCTCCCCAGCAGATCTTCCTTCTCTCCCGCATACTCACAATTCCTGATATCCGAGATGAACACGGCCAGGCCCCGCATGCCATCTCCTTTGGACACGGCCGGCATCTTCACCCACAGAGCAAGAGGCAAAGCCCGGACCAACAAAGCAGCGGAGAAGCTCCGAGCCGGTTTGCCTGGCTATAATGCGACCGGGTTTATCTGACTGTATTTCCTCCGGCCCGGCGCGCCCCCGACCTACACCTCGTACTCCGAGCCCGCCCGGAACGCGCACTAAGCCAGGGATGCGAGCGCGCTGGAGAGGCGGTGCAGAGATAAGGGTACTGGATGCGCGTGCACAGCAGATGTTAACCCCACCTCTTGGGTAATAAAGGGGCGTGGTTTTCAGCTTGTGACTGACAGGTCTCGGATAACGGCTCCGTTTAGATTGCGATGAGTGGAGCTTGGACGTGACTCAGATTTGCATTATAAATGTTTATAAATACAACGTGTATGTATGTGTGTGACGGTCATTTCACCTCTGTAAATGTATAGAGATGTCTTAGGTTCTCATTTCACTCTGCATACATAACTGGGCATTGGAAAGAGGTGTATTAAAAATGTAATGTGATGTTCAGGGCCGGATTTACACCCTTTCTGCTGCCCCAAGGTCGTGTTCCTCAATGCCCCTGCTTCCCAAAGGAGAATGGCATCTGTATTTGTTAGAGCGGGGTCATAGGCCCCCCTCACACTTACCGCGGGCGTGAACGTGTGCAAAATGGCGTGTTCACGAAAAGTGAGTGTCCCGCTTATTTGTTAATAGAACAGCAGGCAAGGCACATGTCTTGGTGTGAATGTTAAAGTAGTATTAAACTCTTAAACCTTTTTTCCAATAATCCAGATCAAACAAATATACATTGCCCAGCAAAGCATTGCTTTACTTTTTTGCCCAAATACTTACAATCATCATGTTTCTGAACAGCTGCTTCCAAGTCTCTGAGCTCAGATTCCCTGAACTTCCTGTCCAGTACAAGATCACAAAGGAAAGTGCAGGCTCAAGCAACTGTTCATCTACTAGCTTGGGGGAAGGGAGTAGCTTGATTTGCTTTGTGTTTGTGAAGACACATACATCTTACTAGCACTAGGGTGACGGCATAGCGATCTGCTTGAGAAAGGAGTCACTTTAAAACAGGAAGTCAAGACAAAAGGTCAGGGAACAGCTGATTCTGCAGGGATCTAAAACATTTAAACATCAAGGAGCAGCATTCATTGTAAGTGATTTCATCACTTTATTATCACTTTAATATTGACTTTATTATCACTTTATTGCATAAGAAAAACATAAAAATGCACAAAACTTGCAGCTCAAACTGCATGAGCGTCTTTACTGCATTTTTTGCACATAAGGTAGCCCACTGAAATTAATAGGCTGCCCTATGCCGACTGGCAAAAAATGCAGCAAAATGCACCCCATGTTCACGCACACATCAGGATTTGTCAGAAGTTTTCTAGTAGTTGCAGAATGATGATGTTTACGGGTTTGGTCATAAGAGGGCGCCAAAGAACAAACAATGTCAGACACACTGCAACAGAAGACAGGCTGCAGATCAACTGGACAAGGAAGGGTAAGAAACCCTGACAGTACTCCCCTCAATGACCCCTCCCATGTGGGAGGACAAAAGACTTATGGAGAAAGCAAGCAAGGAATGCACGGAGGAGGGCGGGGGTATGAATATCAGAGGAAGGAACCCAAGAATGCTTCTCCGGACCGTAGACTTTCCAGTGGACTAGGTACTGGGCATAGGGTTGCCACCTTTTCTTCAGGCCAAACCCGAACACTATAGCACTTCACGGCAATTTGTTTGTAAAGTATACACTATGCATGTATTTTGTAAATAAACAACATTTGAGTTAATCACAAGTTGCCAGTATGCCGCAGGTCCCTAGATATGCATTCTGTAGATAAGTGCACAAAGCAGTACCCATATACCTTGCCGCAGTTCTTACCAGATATGCCAAAAGTAACGGGTGCTGGTAATGACTGCGGATGGCGCTGCTCACAACAGAACAACAATACAGATGTCTCCAGCACACCGGCACCAAGATCCCATGTTACTGCAAATCCATTTTATTGAATCGCTTTCTGGGCCGCGCCGGGTCCCCTTCATCAGGCTCAGAAATGACATTCTATTATGTCCATATAAAAGTTGTGGCCCTTTTATGTAATGCTATTTCTGAGCCTGATGAAGGGGACCCTGCCCAGCCCAGAAAGCGCTTGTCGTTTGAATGACAACTATCAATTAAAATAGATTTGCAGTAACATGGGATCTTAGCGCTGGTGACATCTGTTTTGGAGTTCAGATATGTACTATTGCACATAAAAGATGCTCCCACAAAAGATGTCACAGGTTACTTGTGGCATTTTTTATGGGGGCACGTTTTATGGTCTATACTAGCCCCCCCCCCTTTCAATTGATATTTAATACAGTATAATATATATATATATATACACGGTTACCTGTTAGTAGTGGAGACTGGGGCGTGAGACTGGGGTGGTGCCGGCTATTTGGTCCCAGATGACAGCGCATGGTAGAGATGGTGATTTTGGAGGACCTCCCTGATGTCACTTCCTCCCACCTAGTCCCTGCCGCGGAGGAGAAAAACAGAGGGAGGGACTCGACAAGTGACAGTGGCGGCACCAGCAGGGAGCCACAAGTCCGGTGTGAATAATGTGCCCGGGTGTGATTCGGGCTCACACACGAGCACAGGATTCCAAAACCCGTTGTTCTATCAAAGTTTGTGACTAGGTTGGAATGTGTGAGCGGTCACGTGGTCACACATTTTAACGTAATCCCACCCAGTTTTTTTGGCGATTAAATCTGTAACCGGCAATAGGTCTCACATTTTACAAAGTCGGACAGAAGTGAGCTGTCCCAGGGCAGATCGGTTCTCCTGCACATACCATCTCTGATGCCGATCTGCCCTGGAAGAGCTCACAAAGCGTTGTAATGCTTGACCTAATGGGTGGTCACACATTCCACCGCTGGAAAACTGGGCGGGATTACGTTAAAATGTGTGACCACCTGACGGGTCACACATTCTAACGTAATAACATATGTTGGTAGAACACTGGACTGTCCAGGTGAATCCCGGATGGGTGGCAACCTTGGAGACTTTGCATGCCTCTGCGGCAAAAAATGCAGGTATGCAGCATTGTAATGTTTGAATCATGTGCCCGGGCGGGAGGTGGCCACAGACCCGGGCACATGATTCCAAACCCGGGTTGTACAGGTGAAACCCGTACGGGTGGCAACCCTAACTGGGCATGACCCCTGAACCAACGAGAGTCGAGGATACTCCTCATGGTTGCCAACAGGAATGGGACGAGGAGGAGTGGTAGGTAACTCCCACAAGGCTTTACTGGCTGGACACTTAAACGTAAAAAATGGTTCCTTGGCAACTAGGGCTCCTGTGTATGGAGAAACTACAAGTTTCCAAGCTTCCATTAGCCACCACAATGGAGGGACTTGTAGTTCTCAAAAGAATTGAAGTCATTGCACTTGTAGTCACTTCATTCTTCCTCCCAACCATGTTACTGAATGTCTGTACCTGTGCAGACATGGACAGGAAGAAGAGATTGCAGGAGCCAGAGCATTGCGTCTGCGATCAAAGTTGCATTGCTTTTACATCCAAAGGCATTCCACTTCTACCTGTAATGGCAGCCATTGTGGAAAGCACAGCAGGATCAGAGGGTCATAAACAATCTGGAGATGGTGAGACGCTGCCCCCTAGTGTCACATACAGAAATAGCTGTTTCAGGCTCTTAATCAGCAGGTACTATCCTGTCCTCAGTCAAGGTGTTCTGAAGTGGTCATAGATATAAGATGTTTGTAGCCCAGTGTTATCTATTTTACTTGGATAAGATGACAAATAGTATATTAATGACTATGTTCAGTAACATAGGAATGGGAAGGAGCAAGGCTGGTTTTAATTTTCTTGGGCCAATATTTTTTTTTTTTTTATGTTTTGTTCTTTGAAATTGTTTCTCTAATATTAGGCACCAGGGGTGTCTTTACACATAGACACACACACTTAGGCCATATAGATGTTCATTTTTATGCAACTGTCATTTAACAAAAATGACAGATACCACATGTCATATATATAGGCTTAATGAGGCGTCTTTTTTACCCAAAGCCAGAATTTCATTTATTGTAAATATATGCATACAAAGTTATTATAATGAAGTCTTGTTTTTTTTGAGGACTACAACAATGAAATATCTCACTTGGTATTTGTGGTTATGCCTTACCAAACACATTGTAGTTTCTCGCACTTCTTGCTGCATGGGGCAATGTTTCACTACACCTGCTGTATTGTAACCTACACTCACCGGCCACTTTATTAGGTACACCTGTTCAATTGCTTGGTAACACAAATTGCTAATCAGCCAATCACATGGCAGCAACTCAATGAATTTAGGCATCTAGACGTGGTGAAATCGACTTGCTGACGTCAGAATGGGGAAGAAAGGTGATTTCAGTGACTTTGAAAGTGGCATGGTTGTTGGTGCCAGGTGGGCAGGTCTGAGTATTTCAAAAACTGCTGATCTACTGGGATTGTCACGCACAACCATCTCTCCGGTTTACAGAGAATGGTCCGAAAAAGAGAAAATATCCAGTGAGCGGCAGTTGTGTGGACCAAAATGATTTGTTGAGGTCAGAGGAGAATGGCCAGACTGGTTCGAGATGATAGAAAGGCAAGAGTACCTCAAATAACCATTCGTTACAATCGAGGTATGCCGAAGAGCATCTCTGAACGCACAACACGTCGAACCTTGACGCAGATGGGCTACAGCCGCGAAGACCACAGCGGGTGCCACTCCTATCAGCTAAGAACAGGAAACGGAGGCTACAATTCGCACAGGCTCACGGCTCACCAAAACTGGACAACGGAAGATTGGAAAAATGTTGCCTAGTGTAATGAGTCTCGATTTCAGCTGCGACATTTAGATGGTAGGGTCAGAATTTGGCGTAAACAACATGAGAGCATGGATCCATCCTGCCTTATATCAACGGTTCATGATGTGATGCTACCATGTCAACATGGACCAAAATCTCTAAGGATTGTTTCCATCACCTTGTTGAATCTATGCCATGAAGAATTAAGGCAGTTCTGAAGACAAAAGGGGGTCCAATCCGGTACTAGCAAGGTGTACCTAATAAAGTGGCAGGTGAGTGTATATGGAAAACCCAAAATTAAAAGGAAGGCTCTCGTAACAGATGCAGCAGGTAGACAGACCTGGGAACTCAAGGGAGACTACAAAGCTTTAAATAAGTAAAAGGAACCTGACCTGGCAATAAAGGAACAGTAACATATATCATGT